CAACAACAGCAATTAAGAAGTTCATTTTTTGGATAAAAAGATAGGAATAAGTGGTTACAGAAACTAGGCTTTTAAGAATCATTTGATTGGGTTTTTCATTTAATCTTAGTCTCAAAAACATTTTTAAATATATATTTTTCATTAAAAGAAGATCGCTCAAATTAAAAAAAAAATCTAAAATGACTTCCTTGAAAAAAGTACACATTTACTTAGCAAGCTTGTTTAAAATATTATACTTTTGCAGTCATATTACATAAGACAGAACCATATCCTTTGACACAAGAATTCCATACCCAGACATTTTGGCATTGAAAGGTTGCAAATGCATATATGTTTGAAATGGAAAGATTATCTCTAGAAACCTGTTAAATGAAACCTATTCATTCAAACCTGTACATAGCAGAAATTGTTCAACAAAGTGTGTACCTGTTGTTGTTGTTGTAATGTGCCCTCAAGTCTCCTGCAACTCATAGCAGCCCTATGTACAACAGCCCTAAATCCTGCTCTGTCCTGTGTCAATCTCAGGACAGAGATTACTCCACTCCAGTCACTGAATCAATCCACCTCATAAAGGGTCTTCCCCTTCTGTGCTGTCCCCTCCACCCTCCCAAGCATGATGTCTTTCTCCAAAGACCAGTCCCTCCTTAAAACATGTCCAAAGTGTGTCAGATGAAGCCCCAAAAAGCTGTGCCTCCAAGGAGTAGCCTGATAAAACTCTCTCCAAGAGGAACCTGTTCGTTTTCTTAGCAGTCCATGGTACACTCAATACTCTTCCCCAGCACCACAGCTCAAAAGCATCAATTCTTCTTGTATCATCCCTAGTCATTGTCCAGCTCTCTGATGCATAACAAGTGATTGCAAAAACGATGGCCTGTATCAGGAGCACCTCAGTCACCATTGCTCTTCAGTACTTTGGAGAGGTCCCTAACAGCAGACTTTCCCATCTATGCTGAAAACCCATTGTCTTCACAGAAGAGTGATAAACAATCTCCTCTTGTGTGATGTACTGCATCTGAAAACCCACTGGAGGGTTAGTGAAGAATCTATTCAGACTTCACAATACATAATAACAGCATTGCCTTCAAGCTGAAACTGACTTATAGCTGATCCTCCAGTGGGTTTTTGGAGGCTATAAATCATGTGAGAGAAGATTGTCTGGCGCCCTTCTCTTTCGGAGCAGCTAGTAGATTCAAACTGGGTTAACAGCACAGCTCTCTGGTGGCCTAGTAAGTTCGGTAAGCTGGCATTGCACTGAGCATCTCTGTTAATTCTAATTCACCAGTGGCTCCTAGGGAGGAAGATGGGTACTCTCTTCCTAAGTGATTTACAGCCTTTGAAAATGCAGTGGAGGGTCAGGAATGTATGAGTCAGTTCCAGTTCAACAACAATGAGATTTTTTATATATAAAAAAGATATTTTATTTTTTATATTCTGATATAAAACAATAGTAGATGTGATGGTTAACATTATGTGTCAATGTGGTCATGACTCTCAGTATAACATAATTATTCTAAATATTGTACATTCTACTTTTAAGATATTAATGAAGCAGGGTTAGAGGCAGTTATGGATTGATATGATCAGTAGTATGGCTGCATTTGAACATATTCATGGACTCTGGCAAAGCTAGTGAGTTGTTGCCAATTTGGATCCTGACTTAAACCTCCAGCCTTAAATCACTGGCCTTCCTCCCTTATGAATATTGGACTTGTTAGCCTGCAGAACCAACAGTCTTTACTACTATATGCTGACCTTAAACTGCTTAGTCTCTGCAGATGTCTCTCTCTTGAAGTCTGACCAGTTGACCTGGGACTTGTCACCTTCTATAAGCCGGATGAACCATTTCCCTAAAATGTCTCCCTCTCCTTACCCATACACTTAAAATGTATCTAGCCAGAATGAGGATCTAGTTGTACCAGAAACATAAAATACATCCAGACTTACACTAAGAAAAGAATGTAAATTTCCTGATCAATAGTTTTACGTTATCAATAATTCTCTGTTCAAATGGCAATACTTTAGATGCATTCAATTAAACAAAATGTTGTTGTTTGCTGGGTGCTCTCGAGTTGGAAGCAACTCATTGCTGACCCTCCAGCAGGTTTTCAGAGGCTGTAAATTGCATGGAAGGAGAGCAGCTGGTGAACACAAACTATATGCCTTACGGTTAGCAGTACAGCTCTTTAACCACCAGAGCTCTCTAATTAAATTAACTCTATTTCTTACTTTTATGTCTTATATTGTAACTAATAGGAAATTTTAAATTCTATTGTCTTTTTTAAGGCAGTCTAAACAGATGTATATCAAAGTAATACTGATTATTCTTGAGGAGTGTGTGTGAGAAAAAGAAAGGTTTAATGGGGAAGACAGGAAAAGAGACTTTAAGCTCTAACTTAATTCTGAATTATTAAAAAAAAGCATTTCATCTCAAATTTTAAAATCATGTAATGAGAACCAAATAAAGTCTATAATTTAGTTTGCAATTTGGAACTAATGTTAATTATTTCTAGATTTGGTGAGTGTATTGTGATTACTCAAGCTGTTGAACCCTGGTATCTTAGAGGATAAAATACTTGGCTGCTAACCTCAAGGTCAGCAATTTGAATCTTCCAAATGCTCTACAGGACGTAGATGTGACAGTACATACTTCCATAGAGATTACAGCCTTGGAAACCTTATGAAAGGAAGTTGTGATAATGGGCAGAGCAAAAATGACTCCACTTTGAATATAAAACAGCCTCATTAGTCTTCATTTAATTGCTGATTTTCTTGGATTCTAAGGTTCTTCTTTTTCCTCTCTCATTCTCTAGCTCTGTTTTTAATATGTTTAGTGGATGTCAATCTCTATCCTACTCCTTTGAAGAAGAACAATTTGACAGATCAACTATTTAGAACTCTGGAGTCAGCAAGACTGAGGCAAGCTGAATTTCAGCCCTCATTCCCATGGGCTGAAGATCAGAAATGGAAGAGAAAGTCATACTTCCTGCCCTTTTTACTCTTATTTTCATGAGCCTTGTACTTTGCTGTATCTCAGATTATGTTAATATCTACTTGACTACTTCCACTTTTTTATTTTTCTTTGTTTGAATCCTGTATCAGCTATCTATCATAACTTAGCTTTCAGCAATAGCGTAGACTTAGAGGTATCCAAACCTTGTCTGTCTCTCATTGATATGCATCTCCAAATAAAACTGTACCTCGGTTATCTAGTACTACTGTGAAGAGAGATGTCACAAATCAATGGTTTTAACAAACAAATATTTCCTTTCTGTTTTGGAAGCTAGAAATCCAAATTCGTTGTGTCAGGTCTAGGGGAAGGCCTGTTCTATCAGAGGTGGACAAAACTCTTGTTTCCTTCAGCATCTGTATACCAGGCATCCCTTGGAGAACTTCAAGATTCCTTCATCCCTCCAGTGTCAAAGAGCTCCTTGCACTGATACCGGAGTCGAAAAGCATGAGCTCCACTCCTGGCAAGTCTTTCTTGGTGGTACTAAGGTCACTTTCTCTCAATTAACTTTTATCACACAGGCCACACCCTAGTGAAGCTTCCCTTGTTGTGATGGAGTTAAGGAGAGTTGCAATCCATCCTTAATCCTTGTATAACTCTTTAGTTTATTAGATCATGAGGGATTATTATACAGCTTCTGCATTATGTAAGTATATACATGTATTTGAGCAGGAACACCTTTAATATTTGATGAATTTTAGATGCAAATAAATAAGTGAGAAAAAATAATAAGAATCTAACAATCAACCAACAAGGCTGGCAAAACCAAACCCACAGCTGTCAAATGAATTCCTCCATAGAGCAATCCTCTCTCTCTAGAGTCTTTGAGGTTTAACAGAGAACGTTCTTTCTTCATCTTCTCCCAATATGACTGATAGTCTCAAACTACCAACTTTTTGAGCTGTTTAACAGGTAGGGTACTACACCAACAGAGTTCTTTAAACAGATCTGCTTAATTAGTAATTCTCATTCAAAGTTCTAATATACCCTAAAACAAATGACCCCAAATAACCCTACTAATATAGTATCCTTTATAAGCACATTTGCTGAAATTAAGCAGACAGGATAACTAAAAGAGGTCTGGTAGTACAGCGTTTATGTTCTTGGCTTTTAACCAAAAGTCCACCAGTTCAAACTCACGAGAAGTTCCACAGAAAAGACTTGGCAATCTGCTTCCATAAATGTTACTGAGCAAATCTTAAGGAAAGTTCTATTTTGTTCTATAGAGTTATTATGAGTTGTAAATCAACTTCCTGATGACAAGAATGATTTGAGAATCCAGAAAAAAGGAGCCAAGATGACACAATGGTTAAGTGTTAAATGCTAAAAAAAAAAAAAAGGTCAGTGCTTTAAACCTATCATGTGCTCCACAGGAACAAGATGTGACAATCTGCTCCCATAAAGATAATCAGCCTTAGAAACGATATAGGGAAATTCTGTCCTCTCGTTTCATTGTGTGTCTGAAACTATTGGAGCAAAGCAAAACAAGTTGGATTTATGTTTTATTTTATAAATACAGAAGTCGGTTTTGGTCTATCATATAGAAGTCTATCGCTGATCAAGGCTTCTAACAGATTTACTCTGGTTCAATCCCTGCTGAGAATTTTCATTTCCACACCAGATAAAGTAAATAAAAATTTACATTTTAATCACCTGTTGCTTTTGTTAAATTGTAAGATTATAATGCTATACATGAGAAGTGAAAATGCAAATACTCAGCAGAGGTCTCACCCAGAATGAACTGGTTCAAAACCCCTTCCAGCTCTACCTCTACTGGCTCAGATAATCAAGCACCCAAAGTTCAGTGTAGTTCACTATCCATGTGAGCCAAATACATTCAGAAAATGAGGAAACTGCTCCATAGCCTTGGACAAAACCTCTAAAAACCAATCAGCTAACACATTGCCTAGTTTCCTAGTTTTTAGGAAGATAACAATAGCACAAAAATGAAGGGGTCAGATCCAAAGATCTAAAAGGCAATGACCCAGCATTGTCAGGGCTGCTGTTCTTCTCTGATGGAGCAGTAATACTGATTCGAATCCTCCAGTTCATAAATATTCTCTTCAATGATGTAGATATTTTCCTCTGAGTGCATCCTTGCTGCATTTGCAAAGCCGGAGGGAGGAGTGTTGGCCATAGAGATGAGGCTGTGGAATGCAATATTGGGGTTCAGTTAGTAATTCTGGAGGCAATGTGTAGACAAAGAGTAGATTTTGCTGGAAATATAGCAACACTATGGAGATCCTCATCAAGGTTCATAGTGGAGGAAACCATTAAATAACCAATAAATTTTAGCAAACAATTCAGAAAATTCAAATTCATGTTAATTTTCTGAGGCATTAAAAATAATCCTAAGCAATATGCCTCTGGAAACTCTTTGAACTTTGATAAATGTTGATAGTTGTAGAGGGGCTTCAGGCCTTTTGTTCATAGGGTCACTATAATCATGCTCAACTCGAAGGCAATCATCAACAACATGTCTAAGATGATGTTCTTATTCCTAGGACAAAATGCCTGCAACTTCATTACGAATTATTTGAAAAGAATAGGTATAGAAATCGAAAAACAGATCAAAGCCACATGTCAACATGTTACATAATGAGTTTAGGTGAAGGATTCTATTATTATTATTATTATTATTAATTATTATTATTATTTTAATTCTTCCATGGGCCTGGACAATTCAGAAAGTAAAAGAAATAAATATCCTGTGAATCTATCAGTCTTTTTAAAAAAAAGCAAAAGAAAGTAGTTGAGAGATAGAGAAGATCCACACTGGTGACTTTCATTTGTCACAGAGTAAAAATGGCGTTTCCAAATCCAAGAAGTTATGAGTTTAAATTTTTACTTTGTCACTTAGCAAACACATGACCTTAAATAAGTTTGAAGGTTTGTTTCTTTTTAAAAAATGCATTCATCCAAGAAATATTTTGTTCATTCATTGAAGAAATATTAATCTCTCTATTCATTCAAGATAAACTCAGCTATTATAGGAAGCTGCAGATACAGCAGTGAATAAAGCACACAAAACCCCCCAAAAAGTTGCTCATTAGTTTGGCGTTTTCTCAAAAAGCTGAACATAGAAACTCCATATGACCCAGTTACTCCACCACTAAGGATATACCCTAAGGAAATTAGAACTGAGACACAAAAGGAGATTTGTACAGAAATGTTCATAGCATCATTATTCACTATCTAAAGAACAAGAGAACAACCCAAATGCCCAACCACAACCAAATGAGAAATGTGGTACATTCACACAATGGAATACTATGCAGCATTCAGAAGCAACAATTTTGACAATTAGGGTTACTCACTAGTATACTGAGAAATGAGTTTAACGATTTTGAAAAGTACATGACTTGGGAGAGACTGGAGAGCATTATGCTGAGGGAAGTAACTCAGTCTCATAAGAACAAATACTGAAGAAGACCATTATCGTAAGCTGGAGTCAGAAAATTAAAGGGTAAGTATGTGCTCAGAATTTCTTAAGCTCAAGGAACTGAAGAACAAATTCAAGCCTCAAGTTGCAATACTTAAGGATGCTTTGAGCAGAATATTAAATGATCCAGGAAGCATTAAAAGAAGATAGAAAGAGTATAGAGAGTCACTGTATCAAAAGGAGCTGGCAGACACAGAATTTCAACAAACAATGTACAATCAAGATCCTTTGGTGATAAAGGAAGAAGTTCAAGCTACTCTAAAAAAATTGGCAAAAACAAGGCCCCAGTAATTGATGGTATACCAATTGATATATTTCAACAACCAGATGCTGCCCTAGATGTGCTCACAAAGTTATGCCAAGAAAGCTGGAGGACAACCACCTGGCCAATTGACTGGAAGAGATTTGTATTTGTTCCCATTCCAAAGAAAGGTGATTCAAGAGAGTGTGGAAATTATCAAACAATATCATTAATATCACATGCAAACAAGATTCTGCTGAAGATTATCCAAAAATGACTGGAACAACATATCAACAGAGAACTGCCAGAAGTGCAGGCTGGGTTTAGAAGAGGCCATGGTACTAGGGATATTGTTGCTAATATTAGATGGATCTTGGCTGAAAGCAAGGACTACCAGAGGAATGTCTATCTGTGTTTCATTGACTATGCAAAGGCATTTGACTGTGTGGACCACAACAAACAGTGGCTGACTCTGACAAGAATGGGAATCACAGAGTACTTGATCATGCTAATGCGAAACCTATACCTGGACCAGGTGGCAGTCATCAGAACAGTAAGGGAACACTGTATGGTTCATATTGGGAAGAGTGTACCCAAGGGATGTATCCCATCTCCATACCATTTCAATTTGTATTTAGAACAGATCATCTGGGAGGCTGGGCTCTGTAAGGAGAAATGTGGCATCAGGATTGGAGGAAGACTCATCAACAATCTGTGTTATGCAGATGACACAACCCTGCTTGCTGAAACTGAGAAGGACCTGAAGTGCTTGCTACAGAAGGTCAAGGACTGCAGCCTTCCATATGGATTGAAGATCAATATCAAGAAAACAATGATTCTCACCACTGGGCCAATTGGCAGCATTGTGATGGAAGGTGAAGAGATTGAGATTGTAAACAGCTTTAGTTTGCTTGGCTCCACAATCAACACTCTTGGCACCAGCAGCCAGAAAAATTAAGAGGTATTGCATTGGGAAAGTCTTCTTTCAGAGACCTCTCCAAAGTACTGAACAGCATTGTGATGGAAGGTGAAGAGATTGAGATTGTAAACAGCTTTAGTTTGCTTGGCTCCACAGTTGCATCTCTTACTACCCGCAGCCAGAAAATCAAAAGACATTGCATTGGGAAAGTCTTCTTTCAGGAATCTCTAGAGTACAGAAGAGCAACAGTGTCAGTCTGGAGACTAAGGTGTGTCTGATACAGGCTATGTATGAGTCACAGGTGACTCGATGGCACATAACAACAACAACTAGTAAAACGTGTATGGGAGTCCAAGGGAGGAGGGGATGGTGGCAGAAGGGTGATGATAGGTAGGACGGAAACCAGAGTGTCACCAATTTAGTGGGTATAAGGAGGAGGTAAAGGAAATGGGAAAGATACAGTGGGGATCTGAAAAGATGAGGTAATGCTGGGCATAGTCCAATGGTGATTAATTTTATGAAAGACAATGTATGGGAATGATTATATGAAATTAACATCAACTGAAGGAAAGTAGAGGGGAATCTGGATAAAGAAAAAAACTTATAGAAAAGTTGCCTATTACTAAACTTTGTGCCTTAATATGCTAATATGCTAATGTGTAGAATGGTAATAATAGACACTCTAACTCACAGGTGAAGCACATATTAATTTAATCATCAGCTCTTTCTCAGGCATGCACTGGTCCTGTGCATAAATACATAGTTAATAAATATATCAGACAAATTTCTAATTTTCTGAAAGGTTTATAAGTTATAAATAAAGATGAGCACCTGTCAAGTACTTTTTTATTATTTGCAATGATACCTATGAACATCAGTACATTACAATATTTCTGCTGTAATGAAGAGTACTGACGTGAAAAGTCTGAAACCATCTGACATTTAATGCCTTTAATGTAGGCTGTCTGATCTTCATAATTCAATATATTTTCTGTAGCCTAAAAGTTTTCAATTATTGGTGGATGAATAACATTTAATGGATTGTCATTATTTTCCTTTGAGACATATTGCATTTTGCTTATATTTCAAATGTCACGACACTCTAGTTAAAATTATGTAAAATATGTCTGTCCGGAATGGATGTTTGTGTGTACACATTCATGTATATTAGCAGGAATGGAGACCAAATACAGGAATACAGTAGACCAGTAGATTTTCAACCAATGCCGTCACATTGGAATCATTAGGGGAAGTTTGAGAAAAATACCTCCTTTAGACTCAGGCCTAGAGAATCTAATTCCACTGCTCTGGGGTGGGCATTTTGTCTGTATTTTACATGTCCCAGGTGTATCTAGTAGGTAGCCAGCTTAGAGAGCAACTTAACTGAGCTGTCAAGACCCCGGAAGAAGGTCTGTGTTTCTTAAAATTTCATTTCATCAGAAAAATAAAACAGAAAAACATTAGTGAAGAAATAAATGAGCATTTTTTATTAATGGGGAGATAATTTCTATACCCTAAATTTAGAACTAAGTTAAAATGATTAAGAAGTTAAAAAGGCATCTCAATTTCAAGTCTTCTAGCAGGTTCAGTTACCCTGCTGAGGACATTGCTAGTGGGTCCTTGTTAAAATGTAGATTCTGAGTAAGTATTAGCTGAGGTGGAAATGCAAAACTTCAGTAGAAGGCCAAATCAGAATGGAGCCATTCTAGATTCTAGCTGAATTTGCATTTTCTAACTTAGGCTTTAAAAAAAAGAAGAACTACAAACTTAGATATCAAAGCCAGAAAGCAAGATTTCTCAAAGCAAAGATCAAGGCTACAGCTCTCATCTAATTATCCTTACCTTGAGTTAGGTACTGTGTCTTTCTTGTAAGAATACCCTAGAGGAAAGAGGGAAAGAAAATCAGTACCAGTGTTTTCCTAAAGTAAATATAAGTCAGGGTTGGTGGAAGATCTATTAACGATCTGTGTTATGCAGATGACAAAACCCTGCTTACTGAAAGTGAGGAGGACCTGAAATGCTTGATGCAGAGGTTTAAGGACTGCAGCCTTCAGTATGGATTGAATCTCAATGTCAAGAAGACAAAGATTCTCACCACTGGACCAATTGGCAGCATCAGGATGGATGGTGAAGAGACTGAGATTGTTAACAACTTTAGTCTGCTTG